CATGGGTAAAGGCATATATTGTAAAACACCATGAACATTATCCCATGACCCTCCAAAACACAAATCTATCCAAACATGATCAACATTAGATGATTTCATGGTTGTAAATTAATTTACTAAACAGACGAGCTGCGAAACTAAAACCTGTTGCCGGATTGGGAAGGATGTCGTTGGATATAGGAACGGATGTCGCCGGAGAGAGTGATAGATGGAGATGGAATGAGTTGCGATTTAGGGATTTAGTTTATGATTTCAGTGTTATATACCCAAAATTTCAGTGTTGTGATTTACAGATTCTCGTTGCGATTTACGGATTATCGTTGCGATTTACAGATTCTCGTTGCGATTTACGGATTATCGTTGCGATTTACGGATACGCGTTGCGATATACGGATACGCATTGCGATTTACCCATACGCGTTGCGATTTACGGATACACGTTGCGATTTACGGATACGCGTTGCGATTTATGTGTTCGCGTTGCGATTTTCATATTCGCGTTGCGATTTTGGAAAATCGCAATGCGAATTTGTACTATCGCATTGCGATTTTCAAGAATCGCGTTGCGATTTTGGAAACTGATTTGCGATTCTGGGGATCGCGTTGCGATTTTTATTTCGCGTTGCGATTTTGTTGGTCATTTTGGCAAATCCAAAAAAAGTTGGTTAAAATCGTATATTATAACTTTTTTTTGGTCACTGAGGCGATTTTCTCTTAAGTTAATTATTTATTTTGTAAACAGAATATTTTACAATTAAATAAATAAAAATCAAATTTCCGGGTTTTACTCCATTATTTTTCCCTATATAAACAGCCTTTTATTCTTTTTCCTTCTCCCGTCTTGTACTATATTCTCTCATTCTTTTTCTGTTCGAAGATATGGCAGCCAATGGCGTTGTTTCCGGCAAGAGCTTGATCGTCAGCTTCGGTGAGATGCTGATCGACTTTGTCCCCACCGTCTCTGGCGTTTCTCTAGCCGAAGCACCCGGTTTCCTCAAAGCTCCCGGCGGAGCCCCCGCTAACGTTGCCATCGCTGTCTCTAGACTCGGCGGCAAGGCGTCATTTGTCGGGAAACTCGGAGACGACGAGTTCGGTCGTATGCTGGCGGATATTCTCAAGCAAAACGGAGTCTCCGACGATGGGATCTTGTTTGACCAGGGTGCTAGGACTGCTCTCGCCTTCGTTACCCTACGCGCCGACGGAGAGCGTGAGTTCATGTTCTACAGGAATCCCAGCGCCGATATGCTGTTGAAGCCGGAGGAATTGAACCTTGATCTCATCAGATCTGTAAGTCATTTTATTGTATTTTTATTTCAAATTAACGAATCTGTTGATTTCTTCTCCTCATAGATCTTTGTTTGATTTGCCGCGCTTTTCCTTTATTCTTTCTTCGATGTTGACTTTAAAGCCATGGACAATCGGTGTTTCTTACGCGCCGTAGTGTGAGCGTAGCCTTTTTCTTATATTGTTTTTCGGATTCACACACAGTATCTAAACTTCGAAAATTTTGTCCTTTTCATTGCCCCCCAAAATTATGGCTTTGATATTGTCACCTGCCATCGATGTAAATTGAAAAGCTACTTTAGTCTTTAGCGTGGATGGTGCTGTCCAAATCACGTGCTACCTAGACATTTTTATTTATTTTCCATTTTTTCGGCGTTTTTAAATAAAAATTGCTTAAACTATACAATCACTTTTGTTTTTAGTAATTTCTATTATTTTTTAGCAAATTATTAATAATTGTATAATTAGTATAATGCTGTCGGTAGGTATGGTAGATGTGATTTGGCGAGTGAAGTACAAGTGAAGTAATATAATTGGCTTACCTAACAATTACTACCATATAAATCTAAATTTTAACCCATTTTCTTAACACTTTCAATTGAATTTGTAATTTATATTTCTTTGTTTTTCATGCAGGCCAAAGTTTTTCACTATGGATCGATAAGTTTGATAGTGGAGCCATGCAGATCAGCTCATTTGAAGGCAATGGAAGTGGCCAAAGAAGCTGGTGCATTGCTCTCTTATGATCCTAACCTTCGTCTTCCACTTTGGCCTTCGGCTGACGAAGCCAGGAAACAGATTTTGTCCATCTGGGATAAGGCCGATATTGTCAAGGTCAGCGACGTTGAGCTCGAGTTCCTCACCGGTAGCGACAAGGTTGACGACGAAACTGCCAAGAAACTCTGGCGCCCCAATTTTACCTTGCTCTTGGTCACCCTTGGTGAAAAGGGTAGCCTATACTACACCAAGGTATGCTAAATTTTATTTCCGAGAAACCAAAAAAGAATTTGACTCTTAGTAGTGCCTGTTATGGTAGGTGGTGTATTTATTTTTCTGGTAGATAATGACTTTTAGGTGGAGTTTTCCAGAGGTTTTCAATTCCTTGTGCTGGAACTGACTCGGATTGCCGAATTAGATATCATTTCTTAGATTAACCTTTGAATATATTATGTTTAATATAAATAATTATATTTTTTGGTCCATTACATTGGAATTGTTGTTCTTTGAGTAAAACCAACGGCTAAAGCAATTTACAAAGTTAACCATTGGGTCCATATATTGCAACTTGGAGTTGTTTTTAATTATTTTTATTATAAAGGGTTGGCGGTAACCTGGTAGGTGGTTTCTTCAAACTGAACTCAAATACTGTGTGCGTTTGGCTATATTTAATTTCAAGAAAACAGTGGGTCCCAATGTTACATTTCGATGTTTTTTAGGTATTGACAGTGGGACAAAACTATTTTGGCTTATGTTTTGTTTGTTATTGAAATGTCAGAAATTCCATGGGGCAGTGGATGCGTTCCATGTAAATACTGTGGATACAACCGGCGCCGGTGACTCCTTTGTCGGTGCTTTGCTATCCAAGATCGTCGATGATACATCGATTCTCGAGGATGAATCGAAGCTGAGGGAAGTGTTGAAATTTGCTAATGCATGTGGAGCCATCACTACCACCAAGAAGGGAGCCATCCCGGCACTGCCGACTGAAGCCGATGCACTTGCCTTAATCAATGGAGCTTAGTTTCTAAGCAACTTTACATTGTTTTTATCTCTTTTTCTCCCACATTTCAATGAGTTTTCAATTTATTTCCCTCTGATATGCAACCTGTGGTTTTCCTTATTTCCTTGCGGTGTAATGATGGAAACGCTTTTGTGGTTTTAATACATTAGGAAGAAAGTTTCCCATTTATAATTTGCCATGTGATAGAATATAAATGAATGAATAAATTTTGATTTGGTTTGGAAAAAAAATATTTTTAAGATTTTAAACTTTTCAAAAAGTTTAAATAGTAATTATTTATTGAATAATATTATAAATTTTAAATACACATATGAAATAAAATATGGTACATATATATGTATATTGTATATAATTAGAAAGAGTTGTTTAGATTAAAATCAATTAATACCATATTATAAACGATTATATTTAAATATGAACAAAAATATAAAAATTATATTTGATTTTACTCTACTATTCACGACGTTGCCACTGACCCTGGAGCCGCTGCTAAGGAACTGCCACGGGATCCGACCCGACAAAAAGTAATCGTCTAGGAACAAGCTTCTCCACTGCCTGTACGCCAATGGGATCCAACCGGTCAACCATTGTAGGCCAAGTTGATCACTTGCAAATGACCCTGCAACCGGTTGCGTTGTGCGTTCAGAACTTGGAGCGGAAAACCGCTCCCAAGATGAGTGTTCACTTCGACCGGAGTGAGTTGATTCAAGGAAGGCGATGAGAGAACCGATCTAGAAACGGAGCCTGTGAACTTCTTGTCGCTTAATGTGTCTCAGCTCCTTTTAACTGATCCCTGTTCCGTAATATGTCGTGACAGTTGTTTATGGGGGCAATATTAAAGATCTCAGTTTTGTCGGAAGCTTTGTTAAGCTTTCGAAAAACGTGTTGGATCCGAAGTGTAAGTTCATTAATGTCCGAAATTCTTCTCGAGAATTCGTTGTTTGTTGAACTCATTTGTGTCAATCTCCTTAACCCGGAAATCCTCGTTGAGATTGGACCGGAGACGAGGTTTTCCAATAAGTCGATCGATTTGGTTTCATGTTCTTCAATCCATCGATCCATTCCGCAATACCGCCTGTGAAGAAATTCTATGAAAGAGGAGGTTCTGTTAGCTTCTTGAGATTCTTTAAAGTATCCGGCAACAGCCCTTAAACTGGTTCCTACTAAGGTCGAGCGAGATTCCCTATATTATCAGTTAAAAACCCATCGTATCCCGTGATATCAAGCTCAATCGATCCGATCCGATTCGATTCATTATGTTGTTTTCAGGGGTTCAAACACAAAATCCCCGGGAATTTCACGCTGCACTATCCCAGAGATCCATCGAGAATTCCCATGAACTGATGTACGACGACCAGGGAATCATGTTGGGTCCGATGAAACGTTGTAACGCTTGAAGAGCTTCATTGTCTGATCTCAATGTTATCGAATGAATGAGTGCATAGACCGATGCTTAAAACCATGACGATGGAATCCGAAGAAGATGATGGGATTCGGGTTCGGGAATCCATCTCTTCGAAGAGTTTGTTTGATGGAATTCGAGTAATGTAAGTGAGAATAAGGTATAAGTACTAGTTATATTTAGATGGTAAAGACCCTGAACATCAGGTAGAAAGATAGTGAACCAATTTCGTTATGTTAGGCAGACTTTGATCTTTACTCCTTTCATCCTACTTTCTATCAGCAAAAATTATACACAAAAAATTATCAACGAGGTAAAAGAAGCATGCTAAACTCGGACATCGGCTCCATAATTGAAATAAGTTTCGTTATTCGGACTCGAATGCGAATATCGGAAACAAATATGCTCAGCATATGTATGATCATATCTCTATGTTCATGTTCGAATAAGAGTAGATACTTCAAAACAAATGCAACATAATCGTCAAGCATGATAAGATGAATACATGCTTAAGCATGCGTACATATGAAACTATAAACATATAGTTCGATCGAACTACCGACACACACCGGTTCATCCTAGATCAGGGACCGTGAAGTACTCATCATCGTCGTCCGGGATTTCGATTCTAGGCTTCTTCAGAGGCAGGGAATGTCTGGTAGGTCGGTACAAGTTCGGGTTGTTTGACTGCAGTATCGGGAGTTGAGGAACTTCTGCTGGTGCTAATACCTCAGGAGGCAATTGATCACCAAAAAGACCAATGTCTGCTAGCCACTCGAGCTCTCCAAGCTCATTCTGCTCTTTCTGCAACAAGACAATGAAAAACATTATCGGAAGCACCGGTTTATATCTATGTTATTCGGATGCGGGTGTGTAGACAAACATCTTTCGGATCATTTATCATGTTTCTCACCTTGTTTAGAGATTGAATATCCGAAAGTTCCAACAGATCATCAACAGCCCATGAGGATGCAAAGCTTGATTGTTGGGGGGCAGGCATTTTCATTGAAGTCTGAGGTGCACTCTTGTTGTGTGGCTCCAACACATTGTTTTCAGTACTTTTATTGCAACTCGAACTCAAGGAGACTCGGATTCCCGTGGCGAGGAACCTTTGATGATTCGCGGCAAGGCTGCCGGCCGGATGGATCGGTTCGTCGCAATCCCGGCAAAAAAGGGCTCTATCTTCAACACAGAAGATGAAAGCTGCTTTTTCCTGTACATCATAGATACTTATTACCACAAGATTCATAGTCTATGTTACATAATTCAAATTCGAATGTGAGTATCGGATACGAATATGTTCGATATTAAAAAAAACATGAAATAAACCTGGCATATGTCACAAGGAGGATGCTTGTCTGAAAGGCATTGAAGGAGAAGCCTTTGGTGCTTGCTTGCAAGCTTGTTAGCAGCATGAACATCAATATCACACTTAGCACAAAGTGCAGCTTCATCTGCACAGCATATCACTGTTGCTGGTGCTCTATCACAAACATCACACTGGATTTTCATCTTTTCTTTTCTTTTTTTTTTGTAAAACTTGGAACCTTTGATTCAATTCACTCTCGGAACAAAATATTTTCCCTTTGGTTCAGAAATTCAAGGGATAACCCATAGTTTAAAACCACCTAAGAAGTTAAAAAAGTTTTCCTTCTTTTTGTTCCTGAGAAACAAACACCCAAGTAAGAGAAACCAGATTTTAAAACCTTGTGAAAACGATGAAAAACTGAAGCCAAGAAGAAAATAAGATCTGGGTAGACCTTACAAAAGCTTCCCTTCTACTTTTTTTCTTCCTGAGAAAAAGAAGGGAGGAAAAGAAAAAAACCCTGGGGAAGAGAGAGAATTGAATTGCAGATTTAGTGGAATCAAAATCATGAAATTAAGTGATTACAACGATGCACCATGTTCATGGATTGTGTGGATAAGGGCACTGCAATGTGTTCATGCTACCAACTGAAAACGTGTTTGGGGGTCCCCATTATTGGTGGATATTTATTAGGGACTTCTTATTCTTTGGTACTCTTTTGTATTTAGTCTTATTGTGTGTTCAGTCCCTGTATCTTTCAATTGTTTTTAGTTCTTGTTTGATCTCTAATTCAAAATTCAATTAAATCATGTTTTTGAATGTTAAAATATCAAATATTTAATTTAAATAAATTTAATAATAGTTTAATTGAAATTTTGATAAATAGAGGAATTAAATTCTTGGAATTGAACATAAGAGACTAACTCTTGAATCTTGAAGAGTACACGGACTGAAGGCATAATTAAACCTTTATGTTTCAACAACAATGTTCAAATTGTTACAAGAAGGACAACATTCGTCATCCAATATACATATGGACAATAAAATTAGAGGGCCAAAGTTATAATTTGTTTCAATTTTAGCGTGATTTTAATTCTTTTGGAGTGGATTTAATTCTTTTGGAGTGAATCACATCATACGTCTTTAAATTATGATTTTTTTTTAAATTGGTTCTTAAACTTCTAATTGTTCCAAATTTTCCTTAAACTATGACTATCCTTCTAAATTTTTCCTTAAACTTTTGAAAATTTTAGTTTCCTCCCTAAACTATTTCCTTCATTCTAAATTGTTCCCCAAACTTTTCAACATTTCAAATTCGCCCCATATTATATGTATATACCAATCACATTCCATGTTAATAAAATCTAGGCCAAGCTATATTATTATATGTTTGAAAAAAAATAAAGTTTAGGTTAAATTATGGTTAAAACTAATTGCATATTTGGATGAATTTAGGGATTAAATTGGAAGATTTTAAAGTTTGGGGACCATTTTAGAATGGGTCTCATATTTTGAGGATAAAATTGGAATATTTAAAATTTTAAGGACTAATTTAGAATGAGTATTATAGTTTGAGGATAAAATTAGAATATTAAAATATTTAGGGATAATTTATAATAAGAATAATAATTTAGGGATGCATGATGCGATTAACCCTTTTTAAGGTAAAAAGTAAAATATATGTAACGTTAATAACAATATCTTAGGTTAGTAATATATATTAGAGAAAAATTTAAAAAGATAATAAATATGACGATAAAATACACCCTAGGTCACTCAATTATAAGAAGGTTACTTTTTTTTCTTTAAAAATTACAATTTAATCGATTTAAAATATTAGTATAAGCTTGTCACTCATTTGTTAAAATCGAACATGACGTCTAATGTGACCGGTACAATATCCGTTTTAGTTTATGAAATTTATACATTTTATTAGTTTGGTGTTAATTCAAAATAATCCAATAAATTTAACTATTCGTATTTAAAAATTTCATCAATTTAATCATTTTTACGACAATTGAGTCATAAGATGAAAGCATTAGTTTAACAACTGCATTGTACTTTAAAGCATGAATAAGTTACTATTATATTGTTATATTATCAAGAAAATAATATAATATTTATGAGGGAAGAAAAAAGATTAAATCGATATAATTTTTAAATATGAATAGTTAAATTTATTGAAATATTTCATATTAGGATCAAATTGATAGAATATATAAATTTTAAGGACTAAAATTATTATACTAAATTATGTCACTGTTATGTTAAAAAATGGAGACTTCTCAACTTACAATCTGAGTACAAGAGTCCATTTGATGGTCTTTCTCATAAAACAAACATGGCCAACAATAAGAAACCTGCTTTCACCATATATCAGAGAATACACATCAAATGCATGTTCTCTAACTTCTTAACCAATGAATTCCTACCCACGTAACCAATTAACAGTAAATTAACCACTAAATTCAAGATACCAGAGATTTGATTGATCTTTCAGAGGAAAAAAGAAAAAGAATCATCAATGGAGAAGAAGGGCGAGCATAAAGAAGCTTTCTTGCAGCACCCGGTTTTGTTCATTGCTGTTCTGGTTCTTGGTTTCGTTTTGATGGATCCTTTTGAGATCGGACCGGTCGGTGGGATCGAGTTCAGACCGGTGAAACATGACATTGCACCATACAAGGAAGTGATGGGAAGTTGGCCTAGAGACAATGAAAGCCGGTTGGGAAATGGGAAACTTGAGTTTGTTGATGAAGTTTTCGGCCCTGAATCGTTGGAGTTCGACGGGTTTGGTCGTGGTCCTTACACAGGATTAGCAGATGGTCGAATTGTTCGGTGGATGGGTGAGGGTATCGGATGGGAGACATTCGCCATTGTTACATCAAACTGGTGAGCTTCTTTGGTGTGCTATCTAGGGGTTTTCATATATACGAAACTATCAGATTTGTTGCTCACATTCTTTATTTTTGTGGTGGAAATGTACATAAAATGAAGGTCAGAGAAGCTATGTGCCAGAGGTGTGGACTCAACAACATCAAAGCAATGGAGACATGAGAAATGGTGCGGTCGACCACTCGGGTTAAGGTTCAACAAAAACAGTGGAGATCTGTACATTGCAGATGCCTATTACGGACTGCTTGTGGTCGGACCGGCTGGTGGACTCGCCACACCATTAGCGACTCATGTGGAAGGGAAGCAAATACTGTTTGCAAATGATCTGGACATCCATAAAAACGGTTCCATCTTTTTCACAGACACAAGCAGGAAGTACAATAGAGTGTAAGTAAACAACAATACTTGAAACATCCCATTGTTTTTTCTCAAATCTAATATGTATATCTATCTACCTACAATGAAGGGTTACTCACAGAAGATTATTGAGCAGGTATCATTTCTTCATTCTGTTGGAAGGCGAAACAACCGGAAGGATTCTCAGATATGATCCTCCGACAAAGACAACTCATGTGGTGTTGGATGGCTTAGCTTTTCCGAATGGGATTCAGTTATCTCTGGACCAGAGTTTCCTCTTATTCACTGAGACTAGCAATTGCAGGCAATTCCATCTCATTCTTTGTGTTCTTCAGAGTCTATTTTTGGTACAAACGAGACCGTGTTCTAGGGTTAACACAAGGGTTACAGATATTGGGATTCGAATCCCAAGTCTGCATGCATAAACCAACTGGCTAATCCAGAGATTGTTGATGTTTACTGAACACTGGTACCTGATACTCACACTAGAACCTTATTCTGCATTTTGATACTGATTTTTGACATGGTGACAGGCTAACGAAATACTGGCTTGAAGGACCAAAAGCTGGGACAATGGAGATTGTTGCACATTTACCCGGTTTTCCGGACAATGTAAGAATAAACGACAAAGGTCAATTCTGGGTAGCCATAGATTGTTGCAGAACTCAAGCACAAGAGATTCTGGTTCAGAATCCATGGATCAGGAACTTATACTTCAGATTACCCATCAAACTGAAGATTTTAGCAAGAATCGTGGGGATGAAGATGTTCACGGTGATCTCTCTCTTCAATGAAAACGGTGAGATTGTAGAAGTTTTTGAAGATCGAAAAGGCGTGGTGATGAAGTTAGTGAGTGAAGTTAGGGAAGTTGAAGGGAAACTGTGGATTGGAACTGTGGCACATAATCACATTGCCACTTTATCTTACCCTTGAAAATCTGTCTCATTTTACTTACAATATGTTTGTCTAGACCATAAACTGTGTTCTGTTCAACTTTCCTTTGATCATGAACTTTTTATCCCTGTTTTTTCTTCTCTAGTTTATCAATGAATTTGTTGCAGTGTTGAGAAAACCGAATCAGAGATCAAACCGGTTAGATATTTTGTTCAGTTTAATCAGTTCATGCAATTGACTTACTGTAACTTGCATGGCAGCCGACAGATGTAAACAACATTTTCAAAACACTTAAAAGACAAGCTTAAGCAAAATTCCATAATAGTCGTAATAACAAGACGAATAAACAAAAACACCGTGCCTGGCGACATTCGTATTAGAACTTTGAATGCATCACAAGCGAATAAAACTCACATGAAAAACTCATACCTAACTAATGTCATCAATGGTTCCGCCCTTCAACCTAATGATGAAAGAAAACGTAACCGATGAAAATTGGACAATTCCTAAAAGATATACCATACCAGAAGATTATATAACTAGAAATAAATGTTATATAAAGAGATTGATGTGAAAGAACAAATGGAAAGAATAAATGTTGTCCTATCTAACAATGGATTGCAACCAAAATTTTTTGAATCGGAAGCGAAACGCCCATCAATACCTGTCCCTATGGATTTTTAACTCCTCAATCATTTGATGCGGTTGAGCTGACATCTGAAGACGGACCATCTTTCAGGTTTGGTAAAAGCATAGATGCCCTAGCTCTCATCTCTCCTGTCTGCTGTTGCTGCTCCTGTTGATGTTGTTGTTGCAGTTGTAGCTGTTGAAGTTGATGCAATAGATGTGGTGGAATCTGATGCTGATGCTTTTGAGACTGAATCTGAAGTTGCTGCAATTGCTGCGCCGTTAGAAGAGCCTGCATAGCATGATTATTCGGGTAGTGTTGCTGACTACCTCCCAAAGATGCGTAGTTCATCCTTGGTCCACCTTTTGACATGGATTGAGAAGTCAGCACTTTTAGATGCTGGATTTCTTCTTTCAGTGCACCATTTAATGCTATCAGATAACAAAAAAAAGGAGAAAACATCATTAATGCAGGCAACAATAAAAGCAGCTCGAGCTTTAGTGAGGTGCTCAGGATAAAACGAGCAACATTTTATTCCCAACTAATATACAAGCCAAAAGTTGAAAAACCTACTTTAAGAACCATTCAATTACATTGTAATAACATCTTTTCTACACACATTAGAGGTGTCGGAGATACTGTTAAGTGTAAAATGCATATCTATAAGAAGTGCACTGAAGGTATGTAAATACAAAGAACACACATCCAGCATGTTGCAGATTCAATCTATTTTTTTCTCTCTGATTGCTATCCAACCAAATTCTCACAAGCAAGATCTTTCAAACCTTTTTCCATTATGATGAAGAGGTAGTAGACAAAAATAATAAGAAAAGCAATACAGAAAAGCTATTGTTATTCGAATGAAGTATATAAAGAGGTGCTCACAATCTTGCAAGTAAACCTGTTGCTCCATTGTTTGCAACCGCAGCTTCAACTCACTATTTTCAGCAGTCAAGCCAGTGGAGTCTGTCTGCTCACATGTTACCATGGGAAGAGTCAAATGAACCATATTAGATCTAAATAAAAGAGAACATATAAACAATGAAGTACAAAATAAAAGAAAATGAAGGTCCAACGGAATATATACATGCATATGTATATGAACAGAACCTTTGAATTAGCAAACACGTGAGAAGAAGATGCAGTGCCGATGCAAATACCTGTAATAGAGTCAGCTGAGCAGAGACTGTCGTTGCTTCTGTTTGCAGTGTCTGTATTTTCCGCTCAAGCTCAGCTATATATCGCATCTTTCTTTCCTTTGACCTTGCAGCAGACTGCCTATTTGCCCAGATCCTATTACATAGCATAGAAAATAAAGGTGGTGCCAAAGAAAAATATATCAGGGTAACAACATACATTCCAGTTCTAGAAGCGATGAAATCCGATAGAAAGACAAAGATTCCTTAAATGAGAGGGAAAGAAAAGGAACCGAAGGAGAATTATCAAAAGACACAAACATGGGGAGATAAAAGAAATCGACTATAACATAAGCATTTGCACTAGCTTCAAATTAAAATATAGTTACATAGTCTCTTTGCTATCACATCTTTATCGAACTGGTTTCAACCGGGCAGCAAGTCACTTAATGCTCCAGTTCAGGGACGAACACATGATTCTATGCCGAGGGACAACTTTTAAAATTTTAGGAGGGGGTGAACTTAAAAAATTCTAATGGGAGAAATCAGATCATCAATAGAAAATACAGAGAAAATATCTAAAATAAATGATAATTAAAAAATTTCCGGGGGACTGCCCCCAGCCACCTCTAAGTCAATCCCTGCTCGAGTTCAACCTGACTACAAAAAAACAACATTATATGGAGTAACTTCAATAACAGGCAACACATCCATATTAACTCTAAATTCACTCATGAGTTTTGACCAAACTCATATAGACGAAACTTGTTGTCATTAAAACAATTAAAGGAAACAATCCTAACCTGCTTTTAGCCAAAATCCACAAACTCTCCTTATAAAACATGAACCTTTTATGTCAATTCATAAAGAAAAACCGGTAAGGCAGTAAAATTCCATTCACTTAGCAATCTAAGAATTCGAAATGACAAGATAACAAAAAGAAAACACCTCTTAGCACGCTTGGGGTCAACAAGAGCAAGCTCAGCAAGCTTAGCAGCGGACATTGCTTTCTTAGACTCAGCAGGCGAAGCCTCCGCCAAACCAGACATAAGCATTTCCGGCTTAATACTTGTCGACCCATCCATCGACAGGCTATGTTGGTGCCTACCTCTAGGCTTCCTAGAAGACCCAACACCATTACTCGCATTTTCCTCACCCAACGTCCACGTCCCTCCTCCCGTACCCGCCGTTGCTGTAGATTTACAGACCTGAGACGACGAGGTGACAGAAGAAGAATTGAACTTATTTATATCAAGATACGCAGACAAAATTTCCTCCTCCGCTTCGTCGGACGAAGCCCCGTAGGTTGCGGTTGCCCCCGCAGCGCCGAGATCACTGTCGAAGTTAAGATCATCCAGAAGAGTTATGATCTCGGATTGGGCACGACGGTGGCCTAATTTCTTCGGTGGATTATCAGGCATTTCGCTTATATCGTGGCAGAAACGATTCGAATCCGAAGTTTGACCGGAATTTACCGGTTCGGGTTTCGCATTTGAAGTGTTCGTAGCATTTCCGGCAAATGATAACCCCGAAACTCGACCTGCCGTCAGCGGTAAGCCTGGAGATTTGTCCTTCTCCATTTTAATATATAAAACCAGAAAATTTAAAAAAAGAAAAAAATCCAAAAAAGGGAAACGAGTTTTACAAATGAATTACGTAAAAAAGTAAAACCAGGGTCCAGGGACAGCAAAGATCTAATGGACAGGACAATTACAAAGAAATTACGTAAAAGGTAAAAACAAACTGAGAATTCGGTGAAGGAAAAGGGAAAAAATGGCAAAGGAAGAAGATTTTCCGGGAAAATGAAATGGGTTTTCAGGGACAGGAAAATCAACATTAGATCTTCAAATTAAACAATGGAGTAGAAAAATGGAAGGAAATCACTCAGAAAAAGAAAAAAGGAAAAGAAACGAAAAGGAAATGGGAAGAAGAGAAGGGAATTGGAGAGAAGGAATCGAAGAAAGGCATTGATTGATTACATGAACGAGAGAAAATCACATTGTGGGAAATCAAAGGAGAATAATTTCCCCCCCCGGGAATGGAGAAAATTTGACAACACTATTTTATATCTGGATTTATTTTCTCGTATTTATATACATGCTGTCCAAAATATTAGGTCATATGCTGCCACGAGCCCCTATATTATCTATAAATTTTAAGTTTAATTATTATATGTTAATTCAATCGATTAAAGTATTAAAATCTCAGTCCTAACCACAAAAATATAATTAAATTAATATTTTATTCAAAAATTAAAATTTTCTCTTGCATATCAATAATATTAACAAAGGTAAATTATATATTTAGTCGCTCACCTATTTCTATAATTTTGTTTTGATCACTCAACTATTTTTTTCAAAATCATACTCAACGTTATGTTTAAGTTCTATTTTTGTCACCCGCTATTAAAAAATTAACAATGTTACTTACGTATCAACATAAGATAATACCACGACATCATTAAAAAAATCATCACGTCAGTAGTTTTATTTATTTTTTAACGATGGGTGACCAAGACGGAACAAAAATATAACATTATATATGATTTTGAAAAAACATAATCCGGTGACCCAGATGGAACCGCATAAATAAGTGGGTGACTAAATACATAGTTTACTCTATTAATAAATAAAATATTATTTTTTAAACATTAATAATCGAAAATAATTGAAATTAATCATTTTAATAATGAGTAAACTATACATATGATCGTTTATATTTTTGGTCCGATCGATTTTAGTCATCAATTCAAAAAAAGTGATTTTGATCCCTTGAGTTATCAGTATGTTTGATTTTAGTCCTTCAGCTGTTAACTCCCGTTATTCTAACGGAAGTGTTATTTGTCGATTTAAAAAAATACATGTCTTCACCATCTTATTTCAGTTTTGGTCAGTCCATACTCTATTTTCTGGGTTGTATGAACAGGCAAACTAACAATTCCAAAATAGGATAACAGAAACAGCAAGCAGCAAATCATGTACAAACCTTTCATTTTTTTTTGAACAACATGATTAAAACAACAACAATATCAAAGAGTATAAGCTTTTGATTGTTCTTGAAAGACAAATTCAAAACAACAGCAAGCATGAGACCAAAGTAATCAAAGTGTAATGATTGAATCCGACACAAATCCTAAGATCATAACATTTCTTACACAAATGCCATGATTTTAAAAGAATATCTGTAACCTATGGAACTTCAACAAGGTTATCAGAAATTACAAAGCTTCGTGAATGGGAGGCTACTTGTACGACATGAAAAACATAGAAACACCTGAGCATATAATGTATAAAGAATCTAAAGACTGGTAAAAATCTTTTAAAGAGTGAAAAATAAAGTTAGAAAGATATACTCTAAATAAAAATTGAATCTTTCCACTGAAACTCGTGTGTTTTTCAATGTTAGCCAATGACACACGAAGCAAAAAGTGTTGAGGAAATATGAGAGTGAGCGATTCAACTCCAATGCTCAAAGTGAATAGCAGAGAGGTTGAAAACCTGACTGTCTTCAAAGGAGATGATACAACAAATAAGAAAATAAACTTTTTAGTTTCTTAATGACCAGTCTTCCTTACATTCGTTGCAGGTTATGGTGGATCCACTATAAGAAAATAAGATGTCGAAGTTAGTCCAACTTAATCTTGTATTTACACGCTTAAACGCTGAATCCCAGTGCTCTCTCGAGTCCAGATCCCTACTCGCTGCCGGCGGCAGCCGCAGATGAAGTTGTACTAAAGAAACGAACTTTACAACATAGGAATCAATGGATGAAGAAAAAAAGGAGAAACGAAAAAGGTTAAAAAGGTGAAAGATAAGCTCAACGATGGCGAACATGACGATCTTTGGTGGTGGCTAGTTCAAAAAGGGATCAAACCGTCGTTCCTTTGTATATCAATATTCGCGCTATTGGTTCGCGTCGCCGTTGGGCTTCATTCATATTCCGGCGCCAATACCCCGCCAAAATTCGGCGACTATGAGGCGCGAAGGCATTGGATGGAGATTACTCTTAATATTCCAGCTAAAGACTGGTATCGCAACAGTACTTTTAACGACCTTTCTTATTGGGGACTTGATTATCCGCCATTAACTGCTTACCAGAGTTACATTCATGGGGCTTTTCTTAAAACCTTCGATCCTGATTCCATTGCACTTTTCACTTCGCGAGGCTATGAATCTTATCTTGGGTGCGTATTTTTTGTTGGCTTTTCATTGTTTCTTCTTTTAGATTCTTAATTTGAGATTGATCGGCATCTGATTGTAGTGTTCGGGGAAAAATGGCAGGAAATTGCTAATGAGATGGACTGTTTTATCTTCTGATGTGCTGATATTCTTCCCGGCAGTTCTTTATATTGTGTTAGTGTATTGTTCTATGCAGCTTTGCATTGGCCAAAACAACGATGTAGCTTGGCACGTTGCAATGATTCTACTGAACCCATGCTTGATCTTAATTGACCATGGAGATTTCCAGGTATTTTCAAGTCCCTTTTTCATTACAATTCTAATTAAATTATGAAAGATTCTGTTGGATCTTAATATTTGTTTGGTTCCTTTTGCAGTATAATTGTATCAGCTTGGGTCTTACCATAGCTGCCATTGCTGCAGCACTCTCTCAGAAGGATCTTGTTGCTTCTGTGCTATATTGTCTTGCTCTCAACCAGAAACAGGTGACTTATGGTTTAGCTTTTTTTTTTTTTGCAAATTTTTAAGTTTTCATGCTTCCTTTGGATTTGTGTACTGTTTGATCAAATGTGTGGTTTACTGCATCACGGATGTTATTTATTGTTTCTCAGTAAAAGCTCCTAGTCATATTGCTGTAGGACAAGTTATGTTGCTACAACTCTTTGTTTTTCTTTTAGTACCACTGTTCTACACATCTTTGAACATGTGTAAGGGGAATATACCTGTATTGAGCAGATACTTGTATCCAACACTCACATGACATGAGTCCATTAACATAGAGGACAAGTAACTCAAAAAACTTGATTTCAGAAATATCAATCTTTCATTTATCCGAAGCCCCTAAAACTATTAGAACTTGCGTATTTATAACTGAACCAAACCTTGATAGAAACGTGAAGTAAGTCCTAATTTGAAGAAAATAAGGTAATAATAAGTATTAAGTACCCTACATGATTTAAAGTAGCCATACATGAACAAATGTTATCATTAACCACATAATTCAAAATAGCATATGTGTTCTATATTACTTAATCTTTACAACTATTTTGTGAAGTCATATAATACTTTGATACTTGATAAATGCTAATAGATGTCAGAGAAAGTAATTTCGATGGAAAATATAAAAGTGTAGATTATTTGTAAGGTTCCATATCGAAGATAACTTTTCAAGAAGATTTCAAGTTGCGTTCCTATTTTCTAGCTTAACCATTGAATTGAACATTTTTTCATCCTTATCCTTTCCTTAGTACCCAGAAGAGCCTTAGTGAAACTTGTTGGATGTACTAGCATGAGGGCATATTTCAGTCAAGAAACTGAGGATACACTGCTAACAAATGAAAAAGTGACTGTATCGATTAATCAACATGAAAAATCAACAGATCCACTTAAAATTTATTTGTTATTTGTTTTATGTAAGATGTTTATTTGTTTATTTATTCAGGATTAGAATTATAATGTGGATCTTCTTATGCTTTTATGTTTTCCAGATGAGTGCATATTTTGCTCCTGCCTTCTTTAGCTATCTGTTGGGTAAATGCTTGAAGAATAAAAATCCACTGCTTCGAGGTGACAAAGCTTGGATTGATGGTTATAGGAACGTTTTCTGTTGCGTGGTGGCCATATCTTCAGTCAAAAGAGGCTGCTTTGGCTGTAAGTGGTAGAATGAACTTCTCTTTTTCCTCTTTAAGTTTCTTTACTGCTTAATTAGCTTTCTGTCTTTAGCTTGCTCTCATTGATTTTAATAGAACTCTTTTACAGTTTTTCTCTTCCTTGTTTGTCCGGAATTGATGCTTATCCCTAAAGAAATGAACAGCACTATGTTAATTACCTTTTTCTTTTATTGAACATACATTTACTTATGGGAGTTATTTTGGATTGGTACTAATCTGCTATTGATCTTTTCGTCAAACAACAGGCCAGATGCTTCTCAATTTTTAATCATATTGCATCTAGTTGGTGTGGATCTAGCTTTTTAATTGAGATTGGAATTCAAGGCAATAAGCAACCAAGGGCATTGACCTCTCCTTGAGGTTCGCCCATCGAAGTATCCCATATTGTAATACTCTTGTCTGGAGAGTGTAATAATCTTGTCTGGAGAGTATAACTGCTTGAGCACTAAATGAAACTTTTGGACCATTCCCATAACAATGGAGAATAAAAATTATAAAATACAGTATTTGTTATATTTCCTTTTAACAGAGGTGACACGTCATACTTAGGGTTTGAATACCAAGTCACCATCTTGTCGAAAGAAAATTTTCATACTGGTTCTTTAAAAATAAAAGAAGAGGAAAATTTTGGTCATTTAAGAATGCCATTGTGACTTCCTCCAATATGATTGCTTGTTGCAGGTTCTGTCTCGTCTTGCTCCATTTGAGAGAGGGATATTCGAGGATTACGTGGCTAATTTTTGGTGCACCAGTTCTATGCTCGTGAAATGGAAAAAATTATATAGTACACAATCATTAAGGATTTTTGGCCTTGCCGCAACCCTTTTAACATGTCTACCCTCAATGGTTCAACAAGTCCTTGCTCCGAGCAGTAAGGGTTTTCTCTATGTGTTGCTTAATAGTTCTCAGCATCATTTCTCGTCATTTAAATATGCAGTGCATGGGAAGTCTATTCTGCTTCCGCTTCTGCCTCTTACCCTATTAGCTTTGGAAGTGCATCAATCGTTACTCTGGTTAACACACTTTGCCATGTTCTCTATGTTTCCTCTTTTACATCGGGACAAACTGGTTCTAGCATATATTGCTCTTTATGCTCTCTTTTTACTCGTCTATTTTGCACCTGGTGGGCCAAGTGGAAGACGCAACGGCAGCAAGACTCGTGATCATAGCCAAACGACCAAGATAGGCATGGAATTCATTTCTTCCATTGCTTTCCACCCACTTGTAATGGGCTTTCTCGGTTTGTGCTCTCTGGTTCTGCATGTTATTTATATCACCATGCATCCTACGAATAAGTATCCCTTCCTTTTCGAAGCAGTGATCATGCTTATCTGCTTCTCTCAGTTCGTTTTATTCACTCTCCAATTCAAAGCAGTGGATGCTATCGAAACATCTAACATCAAAAGTTAAAGAAAAGTTTGTTATTATAAACTAATATTTTCCTCATGATAACTCATCCGAATCATTTTGTACTGATGACATTTTACATGATGCATGATGTAGCAGAGCACACTGATTCGTTAGTAATTGGTTGAGGATGACAATTTACATGCATATATGTATATGTATATTTCTTGATGAATAGGTTTTGCATATTTGTAACTTATGTTAATCTCTTACTAAATATTTTCTGGTTAAGCTGGTACCAGACATAATGAATCCGAATAAGGGCAATGAAGGTATCGAAAGAACTTTTGCAACTATGCGCCTCTTCAACCTTGTAGAGGTTCCTATTAAAATAAGAATCAACATCTCACCAATCATCAAAAAGTGCACAGATCACCGAAACACCAAAAATATAAATCCATTACAGAAACTTTTGCTGAGTTTGAATGTAAAATGACATAAAATACAATAAAACTTAGAATCAAACTCTATTTAGCCTAGAAGTTGAATGATAGACTTGGTGCAACCCTATTTTCACAGGTATTGGACACTCAAACCTGCAAAAAAAAAGTGAGGTTATGGTCAAAACTCATTACCAATATCGTTATGTTATCGACATTATAAGAAACAACACTAAGGTCAACGGTAATGCTGCTAGCAATGGAAACTACAACACGTTTCCACTACATTATGAGATAAACAATGATCCATTTTATCTAAAATTATGTCATGGTGGTTCGTTTGAAAACAAAGGAAAAAAGAGGCTACTATATTCATGCATATCAATCTACCTGGAGGAAGGGACTGCTTCAACTTCTCAGCCTTCTCGGCATCAGAAACGCAGTGTGTGTACAAGTACTTGGAGCAACGGACCTTGAACTTAACTACATCTCTGCTATTCTTGATCTTTACCGAGCGTGCATCTTTCCTTCTGGCGGTGAGAAGGAAGTCTTTGATCTCATGAATTTGCTTCGGCTGTGTGCATCATAACATGTAAATCAGAGATCATAACCATAAACACAGAAAGGTAACATCTATATTGCTCCAACTCTTCATTGTCTAAAAGTATCCATGTCCTCTTTATGTCCATACATGTGCACGGAAATACGGGACTCTAAATACATGGAAAATTTGAAAACAAATGAAGATACCAACAAAGGAAAAAACCGGTATCCAGCTTACACACAAGTCCGAGTAACATAAGGTCACACTAACAAGCGAATAAGCAACTCAAAGCACAAGGCAATAACACAAATTGATACTAAAACAATTAAAAAAACTTAACAAATTCTTTACAAATAACATGATCGGATACCTTGGAATATAGTGGCATAGAAGATCATTGATTATTGAAGTTCTTTTATACAAGTTTATTATCCTACAACATTTATGATCTTGAAACAATGGGGACTTTTCATAAGCAAACATCATAATTAACACATTAAGCACCCTGCATTTCACTCCAACTGAACTTAACATCTATGTCGACTAAAATGATACTAAATACCTGACAGATGATCCAATATTAAGCAAATCAAACAGATGTTGCTAAACAAGAAAACCCCATCAATGGAAAAGTGTTAATTATCATGATTGTACAGTTTCTAGAACTCTTGAAGACATAGCCCACATCCACCATTTTTCTTCTGTCTTCATAAACTCCATTTGGAAGTTTTCAAGGTTCAGTCGATTTCAATTACAGAAGAAAATTGGAAAAAAAAAGAAGTAACAAGGAAGCCAGAAACACACACACATATATACAATCGGCGGTAAACGTAAAAAGGAGGTAACGAAGATCAAATCAACAACAGGTTCAGAATCTAAAGAGATAATTGAAGAGAGAAATAAGCTTAACCATTTTCGATTGAAGCTAGTTGAAACCCAGACAACAGAGCACGCTCCAGACCCTAATTTCTGTGATATTCAACGATTATATACGCTCCCAACAAAACCCTAGGGGATATATTGTTTTAGGTTAAAATATGATCTTAGCCCCTGTACTCTTCAAACATTTAGAATTTAGTTCTTCAACTTTTATTTTTAGGCAATTTAATCCTTGTACTTTTTAGATTGAAAGAAGTCCAAGTATTAATATTATTAAATTTTCTCCGTTACAACGCCATTCTTCTGATTAAAAAACTACCAAGATAGTATTTCTATTTAAAATTATCACATGAATGAATTTAGCAAAATAATTTTAAAAAATGTTAATAATTGAATTTAAATTTTAAAATCAAAAAGTAAGATTAAATTCTAAATATAAAAAGTGCATAAACTAAGAAACAAACTGTAGAGTTGAGAAGTAAAATAAACACACTGAGCGTCGACGGGCAATTGTTTTCCCGTTCATCAGAGATGCGCACAGCACTGTGTCTAAGGGGAAGGTAAATAGATAAGCTAGGAGGACGATCACGGCATAGGAGGGGGTGGAGGAGGAAGGATGGCGTTGGCAAGGTTAAGGTTCATTTTCACCGGGAGTTGTGGCATCTGCTTCATGATATCGGGCACGTTGTCATTCATCCTGCAAATGGAAAATCAATAGAAGCATATCAGAATCCTCCCGATACACATGTTCGGATATGCTTTGAGCACAAGTGATGAACGGTAGATTTTAAGTAAAGACTCAGCAACATAGGGGGAATATGCCAAATAATATTTGCACCCGCAAGATGGTTTAACGGGTTAAGAATAGTTGGCATGTGTAAAAAAAAAACGAAGCAAACCTGTGTTGCATCCGATCATATGAGAATAAGTCAAAGAAAAGAAAAAGTGCATAAACTTCACAATTGTTCAAAGAACTCGATTCTTTTGTATCGAAAACAAATTAAGATTCCAACTATTATAGAAACGGATGTTTAACAAAAACCAGGAACTTACACATTCAATAGTTGGAGAAGGTTGTCACGAGTTTGGGAGAGGAGACCGATATTTTCCAGTACCTGGAAAAGGGTAAAGGAGATAAATTCCATTAGCGACCCGCCAAGGCTGAACAGCACAGAAGTTAGGCTTCATCCACGCCAACTCAAAATATATGCAACTACACTCATAATATATGCCAACTCAAAACATTACCGTCATGGTAATGTCAGATAATAAGAGGAGACTCTTCGAATATTTTTAACTATAGTAAGCGGAAAATTGAAGCTATAATACTTGGACTCTGGTATGTCGAAAATCTCCAAGTTTTTCCATGTATCTAAAGGATCTTTGGGAGGTCCCATCCCCATACTCAAGTCTGAATATGCATCAGACGTTGGTGTAAACAGAAGAACTTCAAGAAAAATGAAGAGTGGAAGTAACACAGTAAATTTGATCTACTCATAACATGCCAATACCTGATAAGATGCAAGATTTGTAGATATTTGATTTAGGGCTTGTGCGTTCTGCTCCAGAAGTTCACCTGCCACCCCGATGATGGCTGTGAAAAGGCATTAATGTAGTTTTTCAATTAAATTTTCCAATAATAACAGCATAGATGACAAAAGGAGATTTCATGCATAGAAAAATTCGGCAACCGTAAAACTAAATAAAACTATATAGAGAGAAAACACCAAAAATTCAGTGCAACTACTAAAGCAACAGAATATGAGATAGTAAAACTCAATTCCTACTTCAAGACTATGTATATAAAACTTCTTTCATTATAATACTAATTATATCTTGATGAAAATGTAAACTGATAAATTTAATTAAAATTGCATGCTAATAGGTCTATTTTAATAAAGTATAAAACTTGAAAGAAAGAAAGAATCAAAGAAGACTTAGCTATTACGAGCAACGTAAAAATTGTCAAGGATAAAATCCAACCTTTGAATGGAATACCATCATTATAGCCCATAGGAGCCATTGTGGTTGGATTTGGGGAAACGCTAGATTGACCAGCAGAATGTGTAGGCTTTGCTGAAGGATCAACAACTCTTTCCTGAAAAACAAAAACAAAAGATATTTGCTAAGTATCTATTGGTCCAATGTATGATTATAATAAAATCATTGCTTTATTTCTCATCATATCAACAAATTATTACCATGACCTGGAAGCTTTGAAAGAAAACTTCCCGGTTAAGTCTAATAAATTCCAAGTCTAAATATCGGCTGAAATCGTGAACTTCTTATCAGCAGACAAAAGACTGTTCAAAATTCCATACAAGTTCCCCCCTAGAGAGGAGGCAGGAACTAATTCAATCTCCATCCAACATCTCTACTAAGAAAAACATGTACTATTATGCTAAACTCAATAACTCTCCTGAGGTCGAGTAGATTCCCTCCAACACCTCACATGTATAATAGAGTTTTTGAGTGTGAATGAAAGCAGTCATTCACATCTTTTCAGGTGTGCCTGATTGGAAGAGAGATAGATAAACAGAGAACTTATGCATGTCAGTTTCACAGAGATTTAAATTACTTTCAGCTTAAGTCTAATTTTATTAATTTTAGGTAAGAAACTAAGACGGCTCTTAGGAGCAATCAAACACAAATAAGTGCAGCTTTGCACACACAAACAGAAAAAAACCAGTAAATCTAACCTTTTTGTCTTTACTTTTCCTGGCTGAGCTGGCCTCTTCCTTCCTTCTCTTGCTACACTATTTTTTCTGCATAAAGCATAAATCAAATCATGCTCTTATAATACACACATGCATGCATAAACAACATTTTTCTCAGTAAAAACAGAGTAAATATCCTTTTGTCCAATCATGAATGCTTCATCTTCTAAAGTAGATTTAAAATGAAACCATCAAAATATATAGGCTAAGTGCTCAAATAAGGGCCTAACCTTTTAGGGGTTACTCACATAAGGGCCTGACATTTCAAAATGGTTGAATAAGGGCCTAATTTTATTGGATCTGCTCAAAAAGGGCCTAACCTTTTGAAAATGTTTTCAAATAAGGGCTCTTATTTGGGCATATTAAAAAAAGTTAGATCCTTATTGGAGCATATTCGGAAACGTTAAACCTTTATCCTGCCTTTACAAAAGGTTAGACCTTTATTTGAGCAAAACCGAGGATGTTAGACCCTTATTCAAGCAGCTTGAAAGGTTAGGCCCTTATGTAAGTAAACTCTAAAAGGTTAGGCACTTATTTGAACATTTGGCCAAATATATATGAATTGTGTAAAATGATTATAGCCTGTATCATTGAAGCAGAGCATGCTAATGTGAAATATGTTCCTCATGTGGTTATGTATACGAGTCTACATTCTACAATTCTGGCAAAAAAATAACTGATAGGTTTAAATAGAGACGAATGAGAAAAAGCTTACAGTCATCCATCTGCAACGCAAAGCCACATCCCGCACTGTCTTATCTTTTAAATGCATGGCTATCTTCGCGTAACGAGTTGTGCTCGGATCTAAAGCAAATCTGCAAGAAATACATAGATATCACCGTGAAAATTAAGTCAATGAACTCAATTCAAGGGAAAAAGAAAGAAAAACAATTCAGTTTGTTAACCCTGAAAGCAAAATACCTCAATTAATTGGCAAAAAAGAAAAAGGAAACAAGACAAATTGAATAACAGAAGTAAAATTATGTTCTGGAAAAGATAGCATGCTTGAGTGCATCCTCCAAAGGGTTCATCCGGTATTAGTTAACAAAAACAAAATATGAAAAAATGAAAGGGAGGGAAGGGAAGAAAAGGACTTCTATCTGTTTTTCTCCCACCAGAAACTTAGATACCCATCTCACCAGTAATACCTCCTCCACACATGGTTGTTTGAAAAACTTGGAAAATTGTTTCTTTGGTTCTATAATTAACCGAAGTCAAGAAACATAATCAACGCATTCATGAAATTAAACAGAAGGGAAAATGATTAGATTATAATGAATATTGTAAAATGGAAAACATCAGTGACATCTAAATATATTAGATCAATGATTTCTGTCAAATAATTGACTCAAAGAGATCCTACCATATATTGTATTTCTACCAATCCTGATGACTTACCAAGTAGAAAAGCAATCGGAGACTCCAAGTATGGAATAGAATAAACTACACAAATAAAAATAAGGAACCATTGCAATTCTCAGCATCAAATATCAGCGTTTTATAGTGCCAAAAAGAAACGGTTGAAGAAGAGAATCTGTTTTCTGCAGTCATTGCCCAACAAGTGCAACAAACTGGATGGCCAATTACCAACTACCAAATTAAGACTTCAGCAGATGCCTTAAAGCATGATATCCCTCGTATGCGTTACTTAAGAAATAACGCTCTTTGCAGCAACAAACTACAGGATAAATAAGGCACAATATTTCAATTTTCCATATCAAGTGATAACACTTCTTATGCGTTACTCAAAACAACAAATGTGCTTTCCAGCAACAAACCACATGCATTAAGAGTTTTATGTCAACTGGACCACAGGTGAAGTTGCAAAAGACTTGTTATCAAATCTTCAATTGACACCAGTCCGGGTTCAATGTTTGGACGACCCCTTTTACCTTCCCCTTCTTATGAACTTCAGCAGAAGTTTTATTGCATGTTACCCCTTCTTATGTGTTACTTAAACAATAAATTTTCTTTGTTGTGACAAACTACACGCTTATAAATAAGGAATCCAATTTGAATTTTCTATATCAAATATTAGTGTTTCTATAGTGCAGAAAAGGCTGAAGGAGAATCAGTTCTTTGCAATCATTTCCTAACAAGTGTAATAAACTGGATGGACATCTTCCAGTTACTTAATTAAGAACTTCAGCAGACAATTCAAACGTGAAGTACCCCTTCTTATGCATTCCTTGAGAAATGAATGTTCTTTGTAGTTACAATGTCTAGAATTAATAGCTGATAAAATGGTAGAAGGCTTCTCTTTGGAGCCAATTATTGTTTAAGCTCCCACATGCATATTTGCGATATATCTTTCTCTCTTATTAATATATAAAACACAAAGCCATACCCCACCAACTCCAAGATTACAGTTCTATAATGCAAGGCCCAAGAGCATTGCCCTCTACGTCCTTAAATATATCTAAAGAATTTTTTCTTCTTCTTTCTTTACATTTATGAACTGCTCTTCTTGCTTGTTCTTGTTCACCTCACTAATTGTCTACTAAATTATTAAGAAACATTTCTATCAAAGATCTCTTCAGTTTATTTTCTTTTTGTTTTAGACAAATCTAGTTTTTTCCTCATCTAATTGGATAATTGTTTAAGGAAAATCAATCAATAATACTTCTCAGACTATTGTAGTTTAGAGGAAGGAACAAATTTCCCCCAAAAACTGATTTATCGATCTAGGCTCGAGTTCTTTTTCCTAAAATGTCAGCTTAAAAGAATAAAAGATTATGATATCATTTATCTAGTTTTCTCAGGGATAAAAAACAGAATAAAAAAAGCCTTACTAAGGAAATCATTCATTTTCTTTCCATAGAGAGGTAAATACTGATATGTCGTAATTCATTTGGAAGTTCAATCTCACAAGCCTACCAGCTTGGGATGTAACTCTCAGTTACCACTGAATTAAGCGCAATACACAAGGAAAATTAGAAATAAGACAATGATACCAATTAGAGCATGCGTATCATCCATTACATTTAGTTCACCAAACTATTACTTAACAAGATAAAGTCACATTACGAATATCTACAAATCAGGGGGAAACTTACCCCAAAGAAAGGTTTTATCCACAACAAACCCATATTGAGCAAACACAAAGAAATAAAAAGAAAGAATGAATGGTTAAAACATGAGCAGCACTACTAACCTTCACTCTTGAAACCTTAAGATCCAATATCAAAAACTTTTTTCTGTCTCTAGGATAACAATGGTAAGCACCAGTAACATATATAAAACTAATTTTTTCCCCTTCCCCCCCCCCTCCAATCGATAAGAGGTAAAGATGGGAGATCCCAAGAAGGAAAACAAAGTGGGTTATAGAAGGGTGTTGTAAAGAAGATAATGGGTATTGAAAAAACACAGATACAATATAGGAAAAGAATGCAACATGGAAGAAGCAAGCAAAAAAAATAAAGTAGACATGACATGCAAAACAAATGAAAATTGAAAAGGATGGCAGATCACAAGAGAAAATTCGATTTTATAAATATATATATCAGTGCCTTACTAATTGTAATTCAAATTCATTCCATACTTCGAAGAAAAATCTCAATTCGAGCATCCGACTGTAACTAAATTTAGTCTTCCTATTAAGAAAGAAATGCAAATTTTAAAAAAATATGGAAGTTAAAGAGAACCACATTTTTCTGAGCAGAACAAAGTTTGATTACCATGATTACCAAATACAAAAACAATAGTTAGAGGAACTAATATGCTTTGGATGTGTAAGCCACTCGATTAGATTTCCAGACATTAAGAAAGATGCAAAACCTACACAAAAATGTTATATTTTCAATTATGGAACCAAATACACTGCAAGTTTCAAGCTGGTGATTCGATAAGTTTTGATACAATTGAAGGCAAAAATGAACCCAGAGGTTGGGGAACAGATATTATTCATATGCTTCCTTATGGAAAATAAATGTCTAAAAGGTCAGCGGTACACATTCTTCGAAGCAAAATGTTTCACTTTACCTCCTGTATCTTGGCACCACAAACTCTTAAAAAAAATTGAAGTACCCGTGTCCAACACATGGATATGAGATAAAACCACCAACAATCATCCGAATAAATGAAAAACCTTAGAAAAATATAACTATACCCATCCGGATACAGACACTTACACCCGTATCCAAGTGACTTAGCTTACAGACATTTAAATACTCAGCTTGCAACTATGATTATGATAAGCAACTTAGGAAAACATAAACATCCCAAACCATTGAAGTGAAATTGTATTCCGCGGAGGAACAGTGATAGATATAAATACGTTGCTCCCATGCATATCGGCTACTAACTTTTCCCTGGCCTTTATAAAATCCAACCATTGCAAAACTGCAATATAGACAGACTATTGGCTTATTTATTATTTACAATCAATTCTAAGAAACCACAACAAATAAGAACCCAACAACGAAACTCTCGTTTCTATTATTTAAAAAAAAATCAAAATTTACATTAGGACGTAAGATTTACAAAAGAGAATTTCACAAAATTCTATTCAAGTTAAAAAACAAAATGAAGACTCACATTTTTAACCCTTCCTCGAGGATAGCTTGCTCATCTAAGGTCCACTGCATTGAAATACCCGGGCTATGCATCAAACCCGAGCCAAAAACCGGATTCCCGCTGTTCAAGTGTG